TCGGAGCCTGGATGCAATGAAATCATAAAATGGGGTCGACTGCACGTGGGAGCAGTGCGGCGGCCCGCGTGCATGCCCTTTCCATTGATGCACATACAATCGTCAGCTCACCAAAGTTGCGCAGAGAACAACAGAAGCGTATTGTGGGCTTTGATCTTTCATTGCTGCTGCTGCCGCCACACAGCCGCGGGCGCCAAGATAGAATGCAGTTAGGTGCCACTGGTCCATACATGACTCTAGTGTCCAGCTTGCACCATAGAATACTTAAAAGGCTTGAGAGTGGAGGTAGCAAAAGTAGACCCTTTTCTATATCTCATATCATGGCCCGTCCCGAGTTGAACGAGCAGGCATGTCCAGCGGCGGCAGCGCATAGGCTACAGAGCTGTAAGGGCAACCCTGGAGACTCTGACGAAAGCCTAGCAGGGGAGGATCCAAAGTGTGAATAAAAGCTATGGAAATACACGGAGGGACCGGCCTAGCAGGGGAGGATCCAAAGAGAAGAAACTCTAAGGTCCACCCGCTAGGGCGCCAACTATATACTGGTCATCCGTAACTGCCGACATAGAGCGCAGAAGGCCTGAGCGGCGTCGCAGGCTCTGTCCCAAGGTGACCGTTGGGAGGGTCTTGACGGATCGGTGATTGTGTAGGCGAAGGAGGCCGAGGACGAGGGTTGGGGTAGGTCAGAGCGTCCCAAGGGGGCACCAGTCGGATGCCCCTCGGATGCGCTTGGACGGTCCGAAGGAGGCCGAAGCAAGGGGTTCCCCTGACAGTGCCATCACAATGATCAACAATATCAACAACGTTCACGGATCTAGGGGAGCGTGGTTCAACAAAATCAAATCTTATCTGGTCAACAATTAAGTTGTCGTCATCATCGTAAGCGTTCCTGAATCAAGTTTCCACTATGGGGAGCAATAGAACTGCTGGTGAGTGTGTTATATTCTGGGGATCTACTGTAGATTACAGTGGAATTATATACCCTGACCCTTACCAAGCCATAGGCGTTATATTTTTACAAATGCAACTAGCTACAGCTAGCATAACAGTTGTCAAATACACTGAGCAGGGCTTTTTGTCACATATGTCACATTCCTCCAAAGGCTTATTTTATTTATTTAAGACTACTATTATGGTAATTGATGATGGAACTGATGGCATCTAGATAATGTCATCAATGTGGAAACATTTTTGATTGCTATCAAAAGTTTTGATGATTGTATCCAGCTACATCATTTCTGTCCAAATTGGGATTATTAATTATGTTCTATATATATAGTCTTCCAAATTATATAACGGGTCTTCGGCCTGAAGAAAAGGAACTTAACATTCATTTATTAAGTATAATAATTATTAATACTGATGTTATATCAAAGTTTGATCAGTCTTATAGGGGAACAGAAGACAAATGTACTAACTGCACTCAGGCCTCAGTGGAGCTAGTGGATTTGACACCAGATTGACTCAGTGCACTCAGTGCAGTTGTCAAATGTGCACAACTACAGGTGAAGCCCTTACCACCTTATCTAATCACTGGCTGCGGCCCACGGCGTTTCTGCGGTCACGTGCTTGCTTCCAAGGCCGTTTCAACACACCTCTGACGCGTCGCACCACACGTTTCAATCTATCCCTTGCCTTTTAATCTATCCCTTAATGCGGTCGGAGACGTCTCAGTCGCCCGTGTTTCGCGTCAGCGCGCGTTTGAGCCCAAACGCGCCCTTTTTGTGTTTCGGGGCGCCGGCCGTCAAAACACCCTGACCCGGCGTTTCCAGTCCCTTTCACCCACCTACGCATCACGTGCTCGTCAATAGAATAATATTTGGCTGTTCTTGTGAGAACTTGAAGCAGATAGTGGTATTGAAGATAATGTTGCGGATTGATTAATGTTGCGGGAAAAAAAGTTGTGGAAATTATGCACTCTGAAAATGTTTTGCAGAATTTGGGAATGGGTGTGATCTGCCACATTCTGACAATTTTGGGAAATAAAGCTGCAGAAAACAGTCTTTTGTTCAAAATTGCAGAAAACTCAAAATTTCATAAAGTGTGTGTAATATTAATACTTCCCCACTTTGACCGCCATAGGCCGACGATTCAAGCGGCGAGGTGAGCACGCGTGGGAGCGGTGTGGGCGCATCGCGTGCTGCGAACCGATGCCACTGTGTGCGCGTGCCCGCGTGCCTGCCCTTTCCATTGACGCACGCACATACAATCCTCTGCTCGCCAAACGCAGCGATGTTGCCTTTTTAGATGGTATCACAGGAGGGTCGTCTTGCGCGCTTCGTCTCCGAGGAACACGGACACTTTCGTGCTTGGAAAGACTTGGTAAGGCTTGTCAAACTAAGATGCGCCCGGCGCGGGCTTCGATCTGTCGTCCACACCCGGCGAGCCGCGGGCGCCGAGATACTGATCGCGTCCAGCTGGCGTGTTAACCGTTCATGACGGCGGCCGCTGCGCGATTGGTGCCCGGCGTGCGTGGGGCGGGCGACGACGCCATTGGCTGGCCGCCGGGTGTGTTTGATTGTGGGCGCGCCGCGTGCCCGAGGTGTGCCCGAGCCGGACGGAGTCGCACAAATATGACATCTCCGCGGGGCCCGAAGCAGTCATCATCCAGGAAAAAAAATGCGCTATACCCGGGACGCGCAGACGCGTCGAACGCCACCCCAAGTCGTGCCCCCAATGGCTTCTGCGCGGGAGCCCGAGACCACTGTCAGTCGGCGGCCCGTCCCGTCAACGCATGAGGAGCTGCTATGGACGACCAGTGCGCAAAAACATCGTGCGGCGCTCGTCTCGAACGAGCCCCGGAACGCCTCCCGTGAGTCCTCTGCCCCACAGCCGTCGCCACCGTCCGACCAGCGCACAGAGGCCGCCGGTGCTGCGCATAGAGTGCCAGTGTCCAGACGAGCCCATCGCGGGCGGAGAGGGGGGCGTGGGCCTGCCCTCATCAGCGTTCGAGTCCAGTGACGATTCTGACGATGTCGTTGGAACTTGGCTGGCCGAGGAGGTTCCTTCTCCACCGATGGATCGCAGGCCCGTCCTGTACCCGAGCTGTCAGCCTCAGCCAGCCTCAGCTGTGGCACGCGGTCTGCACCTCTGACGCCTGCCGACTCGGAAACGGCTCGGACCCGTCAGAACAAGCTGTCAGTGAAGGGGCCAAGCCCAGTGTGAGTGGTGGGCAGTCAGGACCGCCGCCAGCACGATGTCAACGGCAGAGGGACAAAATCCAGAAAAAAAAAAAAACGATCCTACATCGCCCCCGAGCTAGGTGCTGTGGCTTGACTGCGCTGTTAGCCTATAAGTTCAGAACTCCGGGCTCAGTTGCGCGCAAGACGCTTCCTATTTCGTCGAAAAGGGCCAATGGCAGTTGACAGGATGCGAGAGAACACCGCCAACCGTCTCACATTGGTGGGCCTGATATGGTCGCAAACGTTGGCGCGCGCCTGAACGGGCGCTTAAATGCGATGTCGGTGTATTCCTATTCGACATTCAAAGGAGTCAAGACGTGATCGAGGGAGCCAAACTTGATAAAAGCGTGGCCATGGCGGCGTTGGTGGGGTCTGATTCGATGACTTCCTGGACACTGCAAGATGGAACACATTTGACGGTGAATGCACCAGCGTTACGGCAAGAAGAGCAAGATACATCCGTTGAGGTCCTTCGGGGCGTTGGGGGAGTCTCGGAGGTTGGGACATGGCTACTCATGAATGGTGCGTCATGATATAGTCATTACCAGTGCACGATTGACCCTAAGCGTCAAGCCCAGGTCAGATATTCGCCGCAACAGATCTAGTAGTGAGCGAGTCTACCAGTAGGCTCCTCTATTGGGCAATGATACGAGGTATGCGCTGCTTTCTAGGCGGCCTTGTGGGCTGACAATAAATTTCAAGGTGGTGTCGTCCGAGTTTTGTTGTAGATGCCTTGATAGTTCTGCCCGAGGGCTTCAGAGTTGACCGCAGAATGGTGCTGAGCGCTTTGCTGCGGTCGGTAGAGACCGGCAAGGTGATCCAGCTGCAGACAAATGCTTTTCGCGCTCGGCAGGAAGATATTGATGGAGTTCCCACCCAGATTTTGCACCCAGTCGTGGAAGTCGTATTGCGCACTTGCGGCGAAGATGATGTATTGACAGTCTTCGCCCAATGTGGGGTTGAGGGATGTGGACAGCAGCTAGCCACGGAAGAGCTCTGTGCCAGTCACGACTCCGAGGCCGCGCCAGTAGAGTTGCGGTAGAGCAGAGAGAATGTCAGAAATCGGCGCTATAAGACCACGCCGCACGCCCCCGATCGAGTGCCACAGACGAATAGCTTGACCACTACCCGAGGGTACAAAGGGAACGAAGGGAGATAAAAGCGTGCCCGACAGGCACGTGGACTGCTCTATATATACGCCACTCCGGCACAGCCCTAACCCGGGCTCCGGCCGGTCCCGCAATCACATGCGAGATGCGCATCACCGCGCGTCCGCTCTTCCCGCTACCGCTAACAGAGAATGTCGTAGCTTGATATCATTGCATAGCATGCTTATTTAAATGTATGTGCAGACTGGTAAACGCGGGTTGCGAGGTCGCCTTCGCCGAAAGTGTGACAGTTGACTTGTAAGTGAGCCCGATCGGAGAGTAAGAGTCATTCAGGGGCGAGTGAGACGGAAACTGGTGTTGTCCGTCCATGGCTAGCACAAGACTGTGTGTCTGTGACGGGTCTGCATGGTGCTTAGAATCTGGTGTCAAGACGTCGGTAATCGAGACAGGAGGGCCGAGGCACCGGACCCACCTCTGAGCTTTGAGCTGCTGAGCACATGCACGCCTTATTATCCATGACCCAACCGCCCTCCGGAGCATTGCGAATTCGATACAGTGCGGCCCAAAACGCTCCGCTAATTAAACGACGTGGGAGAGCAGAAGAAGGAGGGTCACGGCTGTGACATCGGGCCGACGCCAAGGGACACGTAAGTACCTGTTGCCGAGTGACACGTCACACACACCCCTTGACAACGACTCACCACATCCACTAATGCCACCTCATCCACGCGGCACTTTCATTCGCTGCCGCCTCGCCGAGCTCGCTGCCCAAACCAGTGATCTCGAGGCCGAACGCGCCGCTCTTACCGCCGAACTCGACGCGCTCCCCTTCCCCGTACTTGCACTGCCCGCCGAAATCATCAGCGCGATATTCTACGAGTCGTTGGACCTCGTGGCCGGCCACCCCGTACGGGTTCTCCTTGCGATCTGCTCAGTATGTCGCGCTTGGAGGGCCGTGGCTCATGCGACCCCTGCGCTGTGGACACTCGTCAAAATCGATTCTGTGTGGCACAGGCGCCCCGTTACGCTGCTCAAGTTCTGGCTGGCGAAATCCAAAGAGCTCCCTCTGGATATTGGCCTGCGTCTCAGCCGGCGGAATGACCCGGAAAATCTCAGGGTATCCAGGAACGTTCTGAAGACGCTGCTGATGGTTGCGCATCGCTGGCGGACTGTTGACGTGTGCTGCGTTCACAAAGGCGGTCCGCTGACACTCCCAGTGATTGAGAACTTGTGCTGGCCCGCGCAGTTGCCGCTCTTGGAAATATTCACGCTCACTGGACTGACATTCCCCCAGTCCGAACCGCCAAACCCTATCGGCGATGCAACTGGTCTCGTGTCACAAGCCCCCCATCTACGCCATCTGGAGATAACCCCATCTCCATTCCAAACTCCTGTCGGCGGGCCGGTTCTACTACCATGGCTTTTTGCTCCGTCGGCACTTTCACAACTCACTGAGTTCTGTATGGCCCCTTCGAGTTGGGGCGACCTCCTCGATTTCCTGTCATGTACTCCCGCGCTGGAGACACTTTCAATTTACGGGGGCTCATGCGATAGGCTCTACAAACGACACCAGCCGACGGTTCTCGTCACGCTCCCGTGTCTCACTACTCTCCACTGCGTTCAAAACATCGGACACGTTATCGTCGACAACCTCACACTCCCGGCGCTCCGCAAGTGGGTGACAAATGTCGCCGGCGTCGTGGATAAACGCAACACCGGGCGGCTAGCCAACTTTTTGGCGCGCTCGGCCGGCCAGCTCGAGATACTGACGCTGCTCAACGTGCCGCTCGACTCGGGTGCAGATGACGGCGTGGTTCGCTCCGATGGCATTACGCAGCTGTTCACATTGCTTCCGACCGTCAAGGAGCTCAAGCTATCTTATGCCGCCCTTCGGCCAGACGTGGACGCGTTCTCCCATTATTCCCCCTTCGAATTCGAGAACATGGGTAGGCGGGAAATGGCGGGAGATACCTTACTTCCACTGTTGGAGACACTCCATCTCGAAGGGCTGCCCCGCGACGACCAGTGGTACCTCGACACACTGGCAATCTGGCTCCGCATTCGTGCAAAGCGCTATGGCGGCGCTATGACGATCAAGAGCGTGGAGTTTAGCTGGCGGGAATTCACGGAACAAGCGTTATCAGACGATTTGGCGGAGATCGAGACGCACGGGATCAAAGTGAAGGTCCAAAATAGCAAGCTTGGGTTTGCGAGGTATACAACGTCAGAGCAGGATACCAAGGGAGAATAGAATCTCGGTAAATGTGAATTTGATGATAAATATTTGACGTCAGTTGGACATGACCACATTTAAGCTTGTTCAGCAGAACGCGCACATTGTAGCCCATCCTAGTTGCATAATATTTTGCTCAATAAGCTCATAATTTTAATTCCTAAATCCTGCCGCGGATGAGACGCCGGGGCTACCTAAATTCACCGCGCTTCCTATGTTTCTGCATGATTGGGCATCTTCGAAACGCAGAGAGGATGGTAGCAATTGCTGCCACTTATGGCGCGAACACCATGAGTTTCGGCGCGTGCTCGCGGCTGTAACGGCGCTGGAAGAGGGCCGCGGCATATGCTGGATGCCCCGGGACAAGCGCTTCAGCAGGGACGCCCTTATCATCGGCATAGTCTATAACATGTTTTTTCATTGTTTATTAGAATTGTGAGCTTTTTGACCATTTTGGAGCTTTGTGAAGTGAGCTTTTGTGACGGTTTGGAGGTTGTGCTAGGAGCTTGGAGATCACAGATGAGAGCTTGGAGCTTGAGTTCGCAGCTCATAGAATAGAGGTTGGAGGTTCAAAATTGTTGATGTGCTGAATAATCTTGGGACAATTTAATCATATCAGGGCAAATCATGATTTTGTAGAAATCCTCTAGACAAATAATGAAAATAAGGGGAAAATCAGCAAAAAAATGAACATAATATATGAAGGGACTATATATATATATATATATATTTATGGTAAATATTATATATATATATTTATGGTAATAATAGATATCAGAATAAGGTACACAACATTTGATTTTATCAAGTGTTACTAATGTCATGGCCACCAAATCTATTTGTGATAAGTCTCAGTAAACTAGTACTGAGCAAATACAATTATATGATGTTTGAGACATAATATATTATATTCATAACATATTCAGAGTCTCAACACAATAATGTATTCGTAGTATAGTATAATCATATTCAGATGAAAAATAATTATGTTAGTCTTTATATACTGTGGGCGCTAGGGGCTGATCGGGCTTGCTGAGGGTCGATCAGAAGGGAGCAGGGGATGTCTCTGGTCGTCCCTGGTCGCTCCGCTAGGAGCCCAGGGACCATTCCTCTGGAAAGGAGCCATGCCAAAGTCGACACTAAGGAGTGTTTGGCAATGCAACAGTAAGGAGCTCCCTCCTGATCCCTGTGGTTGTCTGGGGCCGATTGGGCCCGCTGTCAAGGGCGTCCGGCGGCGCATCATGATCCCTGATGGCGGGTCATGATGGCTTGATGGCTGACTAAAGCACAATCTGTGATTATGTCACTTCTCTGGGATATTAGTATTGTTGCTCAGTGCTTTGAGCTTGTGAATATATGAGGGCTTGTCAAGCCCTAGGGCTCTAAGGATGGTGAGGGCCCGTCGGGCCGTATAGGGCCCGACGGCCCGACCCGAACCGTCACATTGGACTGGGTGGTTGGAGGATGGAGGTTTGGGTAGGAGGTTTGAGCTGGGAGCTCATAGCATTGACTTGATCACATTTGTCTCTGAGGGCTAGTGGGTACAGCACTGAGCTTGCTCTTAGTTAACCATGGTCCAAACTATGGTTCAACCTTTATCAAATTTAGTGCAAAAAACTTTTAGACCAAAGTCAACTAGCACAATGCCGCCTGACACTGCTGACATCGCTTGACACTGCTGACATCGCTTGAATGAATACTGAATGTGAGGAGAGAAAACCTGCGCGGGGATTCCGAACAGCAAGGGATGTGGGCCGAGAAAAATGGTTTTGTATAGCTGTTGTGCGTGTCTCTCGAGCCACAGAGATAGCCGCGGGAGTTGGAGCAGCAATACAGGGTTGTCGTATGCGGTTGCTGTTGGCCGACATTGCAACGCCAAGAGATGTGGCCCCAGGCAGGGAGAGCAAAGCAGATGGATGGGTGAGCATTGTAAACGAAGGAATCACCGAGCCTGAGGCCGGCCGAGGATGCCCTGTCGAGAATGGAGTCGTCGTGACAGATAGATGGCCCGATACGGGCGGTGTTGTGTACGGAGTGATTGAAGCCGCGGCAGGAGCAGGAGCGGACCCAGAAGCCGTTGCGCCAGTCGTTATGTGTGGTACAGGTGTGGGCGGAGGCGGCGTGCCATCTTCTTGTATATGTCTTCGTTGAGCCCTCTACTCGTGGAAGTCTTGCCATTCTTGAAGCTCTTGTGGATCAATGTCAGCAGACATTCACTGGTAGTCAAATTAGAAGGTTTTGGCCAAGGATAAAAACAAGGACCTACAAAAAATAAAGGAGGGTAATAAATGAGTGTACTAGTTGGAAGGCAATAGTAAGGGGGGGAGAAAGTGGGCCATTGGGCATCAAAGAGCATCTTATAGGGCGACGAGACAACCATGGTTTCGACCATGGTCGTCTGGAAGTGACGTGTCACTTCCCATAATAGGAAGGATACCTGCAAAATCTGACATTTTGACAAAAAGTGACGGCCACGTCACTTGATTGCCCGCACAGCCTCCAAGCTCCAAGCTCCGAACTCAGTGTTAGCCAATCAGCAAGCTTCTTGAACTTTAGCTCAGTGCGCCATGCCAACCTCCCAGCCAACCTCCTAGCTCAAACCTCGAAGCACCATCCACCAAGCTCCCAGCAAAAGCTCAGACTTTACAACGATAAAAACCGTCATAATAAATATCGCTATGAACTTGGACATGCGCGTGTGGAGCTGCAGCTGATTATTGTCGTCGTGTTTGAGGTGCGCGTTGATGATGCTGCTGGTGGTGAGGTCAGCGGCTCGTAGATTTTGGACATGCGACAGCCTTACTCAATCATTGGTTCAACCCCAAACGGGCGGGCGAAGTGCTGGCCGTTTACGCGGGAGTGAACAACGGGCCCCATGCGCATGTAGATCAGGGCCCCGGGGTCGATGGGGAGGACAGTCTTCCGGTGCGAGCCGCGAGATCAAATGGATGTGTGGCACGCGGCGCACGGTGTAGAGCGCATCGGGGACGGACTTACGTTCCCGCCGCTCCTCTGCCATCGCCATTCCGGTGCGAGCCGCGAGATCAAATGGATGTGTGGCACGCAGCGCACGGTGTAGAGCGCATCGGGGACGGACTTACGTTCCCGCCGCTCCTCTGCCATCGCCATTATGAGGTTGAAGAAGTCCGCGGTGTTGGCGGGCTCGACTGCGAGCTGGACATTTGCGACGAAGAGTTTGTCATGGAGCTGCTCGGCGGAGAGTGAAAGCATGTTGAATGCGTCGACGAGCGCGAACTGCAGCTGTTGTGAGATGAACTCCGCAGCGTGGAATGTGAGTGCAATTTTGGAGAGCGAGAGACTTGCGTCGTCTGTGGAGCAGCCGGTCTTGTGAAGAGGCCTTCAATACGGATGTAAGCATGTTCTCCAGCAGGGGCATCGATATACTGACCAGTCATCCTTCTGACACTACTACAATTCAGCTTTTTGTAGTAGGGGGTCACGCGTACACGCCTTCTTCGAGCAATACGTGGCAACGCCACACTGCTCGACGGTTAGCACGTGGACAAGATATACGGACAACAACGCACCCGCGCGCAGCGCATCAGCTTCCCATTCTCATTCCCGTCCTCCGGGCCCTTCATGCATAGCGCGCACAATTCCCGCCCCCTGAGCGTCGCCCGCACCGCCCGCACATCCTTGCGGTGGCTCTGCGTCTCCCGCGTGAATCGCTTCGCCTCTTCCGGCATCCTCGGCATATATCATATATGCCGAGCCCACTCAGCGGGCCCTCCTCTATCTGCGGCGTGCTCATGGTTGGGAAGCAAGATGTGGTTGCCGTGAAAAACGTGATTGACGTAAGTATCTGATCGTGTGCACGGTGTGAGCACAGCCATCGGTCTCGGCCTTCCTCTGGTGAATTGTCACACCCGTGACCAGCTTCTTTCCGCACTCCCATGTCGAATCCTGATCCTCCAGTGTGCAGCGAGGGCAGCCGACATGCAGGCAACCAAGATGGGCTGGTATGAGGGGCTCCGCGCACGCCGACCCGACACGCTCTCCGGACTCAATAGCGTTCGTTTTCCCCACTGGCTGGAGACAGGGGCAGTTATAAGTACGTGTACCATCCAGCTGGCGCATACCGCTCATGCGTTCGTCGCTCTCTAGAAGGATCACACGACACTCCATGCGCCGTGGACACGCTCCATTCCCATGACACTGTCCAGAGATTCTGCCAACGACACGGATGAGACTCGTTTCACATGGATGTATCGACCACCCTGTCTCGCCCAACTTCCACAATGATATTCTTCTCTGATGTCATTGCTTTGCCAAATGTACCTCCAGTGGACGGCAAAAGAAATACTTGATAGCCCAACAAGCCCGATACGGCCTAATCAGTGTCGAACCGGCTCCGCCGTTGAGAACACCCTTGGCCGCGTGTCTGACGTGCGAATGGATATGGTCTGACCATGGTGGTTCCACCCAGTATCTTATCTTAATATTTACTGACTCAGTAGTATACAGTCATGACAATTTTCGTAATAAGTTGATTAATACTAGAAGCCCATGTACTGCCGCAGCAGGTGTGATGCCACCTTGCGAAGGTCCAGCCCGTGCCCATGTCGCGGGCGAAGCGAAGGGCCAGACTGGCTCCACAAAACAACTGGCAAAACTTTTGCGGGACTGATTCTGATGCATATGGTCCGTGTCGAACGGCGGCACAAGCAGTCTGGCAGAACCCTAGACTGCTTCTCGACAATATGGACGGCGGCATCTGGCTGGTTACTGCTGCAGACGGCCTGGGTTGTCCACCGTACACTCATTCTGCCTCATCCAACTTGAAGAAGACTTGAAATTGGTCTGCCACTGGCACATCCAGGCGGCATGCCACAACTATAGCTCCCTAGCCTTCCAGTGTATGCATCCTTCTGGACACCGCTCGGCGGTCTGCTGCCCCACAACGGCACAACACTGAAGAGGCTAGACCCACCGACGAGTGGCCAAATGTGCTGAAGAGTCCTTAGGTGCGGCATGGGTGCCTATCGATGTTGTCCGGC